ATGCAAACACTTCATTGCTCAGCCCTTCCTTGTCGGCATCATAGAGCCCTTTGAGCCAGTTGCCGAGATGCCTGCCCTGTTCTTCGCTCAACTCATCGGGGAGCATACTATGGTGGCCGCGTTTCATAAGCTTGGCGATAAATGTATCATGTCGGATGCCGATGTCGTGATATGTAAGATCATAGCGATATACGAAGGCCATAACGAGGACAAGTATTGCGCCAAACTCGTCGTAGACCGGTTGGTATTCACCTACTTCCGTCAGTCACAAATCGTTGCAATATTTAGTGAAGCTAACCTTGATCGCTGTCATAGTGCCACTCATCGAGGAATTGGCATAGTGGCCGCAGGATGCTTGCTGGCGAAGTGAATTGAAGCATGACGTCCATTGCCTGCGGTTTCCTGAATATCAACGAGGACAGTTGCTTCAGGTACATGGTTGTTTGTGTTTCGCAGAGATGTGCTATGAACTGTCATCACATCAGCAGGTTCCGCTCGCAATTCTTTGTATCATGTCTTACATCTGTAACCGCAGCGACGATTGCACCGGCATTCCCGTCCAGGCTCTCAAGCTCGTCAATGTATGTGCTGACTTTGTCAAAGTTTGACTTGCACTGGCTCAGTAATTCCTTCTTCTCGTATCTCTTCGATGGAGGACCTTGCATAGGAGCTTCGCCAAGCAACCGCTCTACAGCACCAGCCGGAATGAGCCCGTGGAGCGCGCAGGCATTAAGGAAGTCTTGTTTGACATCAGAGAGAGAATTGTTACTTCCCATGATATCGTCAAACCCCTGCGAAAAAGACGGGAAAGCATGCGGATCCACGTGACTGAGTGCTTGGGTGATGCACATTTCTGGTGTCATCGGAAATATCGACCCGGAAATTTGCACGAGGAGTAAGGGTACTTTGTTGATCAGGAATGATTTCAGGGGAAACATTGTCTGCGTTGGTTCACTGCGATACATGGCGTTGGCAAGGACATCGAAAGCGGCGGTGATCAAGTCCGTGGCCATGTTTTGTGCTTCCAACTGACGGAGATCAGTATTTCTTCACGATCAAATGATTCCGGCCTACCTTGTATCGCGAATGTAGATAGTTGATAATGATGAAATCATCGGTAAGAGGCCGCGCGACAAGCTTGGAATGTTAGCAACGTGCCACATCGTCACCTGGAAGACGTACCAAGGCGTTCAAAAATACGTAGAGACCGGCTCGTGTATTCACCTGTGGAAGCTCCATCACGGCATCGAGCTGGAGTGCAGCGACTTCGAGACCGGCGCTCCTGTTTCCCTCTCCGTTCATGTTGGGAAGTTTCTCATAAAAGTCGTGTCGTTTTTGCGAGAGCTCAAGTCTTTCAGCTAGTTGCAACGACTGATGCGATCCGCCCGAGTTGTTGGAGAGAAATGGAATAAATGAGGAGAATGACTGGATAAAATGTTTGCGTACATCTAATGCATGTGAGTAATGTGCTTCTCAAGTCTTGAGCAAACCCGTTCGAAAACATCGTACAAACATCAGAACAATTAAAGGTGCGCTTACCTTTCCCCTTGGGATTGTTCAGTATCCGCAGAATTCTTGGGTTTTCTATTATGCCAATCACAAGCATCGCAAGCCCTTCCCGGACATTGATAGAGTGTTGTTGTGGTTGTTGGATACCAGCCATGGCCTGGATCATGGTGTCACTGGTATGTGAAGTGACCATTGCCTGCATCCATCTTGTTACAACAATAAGCGTGCGCAAGCCTTCGGTATTGTTGATAGGCCGTTCTTCGGCAGCAAAAGCCTTGTGCAAGCGGTGGAAGACAATTTCCTCGAGTTCTGGTGGATTGTCCCATTGCGGCTCCTTGGTCGATTTCTCGTCGCCTGTCTTGACCGGAAGCCGGTCCTTGGAGTACAAGAATGTCAGCGTTAGAACATCAGAAGCATCGACCTTCTTCAGCGCTAGTAGCTGCTCGAGGAAGACGATGGAGCGCGGGTCGACATTGCTGGATCCTGCAACGCGTGGTCGAAGTACAAGGGCAGCAAGCTTCCGGCCTGGCAGTGGAGACTTCGCGTGCAGCTGCGCGACGGCTGCAGCGAACAGGTCAGGCTGGACGCGGCGCTCGAGGCACCTGTCCAAGAAAGTCGTCCATTCCTTGACCATGGACTCCATAGCCCATGTAGTTTAAGAATGCACCCTGGACGTTGGGCTGGTAGTTGGCAAGAAAAAGAATATGGGATGTGGTCCGGCGAGGAACAAAGGTGGTCGTGCTTAGCTGAGGTTGGCCGATGTTCCTTGGCAGGCACGATCCATGGATACGGACAGCGCACAGAACCCGCGAACCTTCCAACGCGTCTGGTCAGGAAAAGGAATGTCACGCCAAGCTCTCCAAATTAATTTCTATGGCCGGAATTTCGTGTCTAAAATCGAAGATGAAGAAAAAATGGTGCGGGGAACACAAGCCGTCAAGTTGAATGCGTAACATTGATGGTATTGAAATAGTTACATTACTACCGGATGATAGAAGCGTTCTCGCCCATGTCGTGGGACATGTACAACCATTGTGCAGCGATGGCGCGAAGTGCTGATCGCTGAAGACTAACCGCTAACCCCAGCCCTCGCCAACCCAGATAAACCCACACACGTCTTGGTGCGACGCAAATTACGGTCGTGATGCTGACGACCATCGTGCACTAGACAACGCCATACTCCACGCCAAGCTTCAAGATGGACGGCGACGGGCATCCTGTAGCTGGTCGTCCGCATCCGGTGCCCGTGGGCCCACCATCCAGTCCTCCATGGCGAGCCACTGACTCCACGTCTTTTCGGCCCCCTCGATCTCGGCCAGCTGGACCTCCTGCAATGGCTTCAGGAAAGGCACTGACTCGTGCGGTGACATGTCGTACTGGCACTTGACCTTTGCCCAACCCACGCTCTTGGCTGCGAAGAGGTAGTTGCGACGCTCACACTCGTGCATTGGACCGACTCCCTTCCTCCAGTCCTCGCCAAAGAAGCCGTGCATGATGCCTGGGCTGTCCATTCCTGTGATGACAAGACGTCGAATGAAGGGCACAAGGGAGACCCATGCCGGCGCCGGCTGGCCTCGCGAGTTGGTGACGGGGCCTTGGCGGGGCCAGGGCATGTTGTATGCAGCAGCGCCCGACGAGTGAGGCAGCGGTCCTGAAGCGTTCATGAGGGGAGTCTGGGTCCATTGGAAGGGAAGGCAGATGTTGATGAGGGCACACACTGCCTGCACACCGTTGTCGTGCTGCGCATGGTCGAGGAAGTAGCGCTGGCAGCTCTGGTATGCAGGGTGCCAATCGAAGATGTCGAAGTGCGGCTCAGACGAGGCGGTTGGGACTGATGGCGAGCCTCCTGAGGAGGTGCTGCCGCGCGCAAAAGTTCCACCGCGAGTCTGAAAGGTCGGGTATCCCGCGGGGAAGTTTGTGGTGAAGCCGGGTAAACTTGTCATGGTGAGGGAAGCGCAAGCTACTGCAGGAACGGCAAAAGTCAGCACAGCTGGTTGGTTGGCTGGAGGAGAACACCAGTTTGTGTACTCGCAGCTCGCAACTTACCGAGCTGGGTGCAACCAATGTCAAATAAACGTGCCGGTGCAGAATGTCGGGTCTGGCTAACAGCAGCCCAAGGGAGCCAGGGTCTCAGGGTTCAGGCAGGATGAGACGAGGAACAGGATCAATGACGAAACGACCGAGTGGGCGGCTAGTTCAAGGCTGCTGCAGTGTCTGTTGCTTCGTGTTCTGGTAGCATGGATAGCGGGCGCGATAAGATGCTTTATACATGGGGAGGTTGAGTATGCGGATGCTGAGGCTTGAGAAGTTGCTTATATGGAGTGGCTTCGGTCGACGCCGCCCTGCTAACCTTGCGAGGAATTATTGAAGCCTCCGTGAGATGGCTGCGATTTTGGAATAATCCTGGCGATGATCAAGTCGAGCCACTCCGGCTCCCTTGATCATTGACCAGTAAGTTCAGCGAGTCGGGCCAATGAGCGGCGGCACAGGGCCTGGTGGAGCCGGCGATGGTGGCTGCGCAGTTCGCGGGTCGGCGGCCAGGACGACGGCTCCCGAGGCGGTCTATTCAAAAACTCTGTAGTAAACCAAGTGTCGTCAAGACTGCGCTACCTGCGCTGCCGTTGGCTGCTTGCGTGCGCTTCAGCCGACCGCTGCCCCCCTTTTTGCAGTTCCTTGTACATATTGCTGCGCGATGATGGCCGTTTGGTCGCCCAAGACAGTGGCAGAGACCGACGGAGCGGCCGAGATGCAGGCGCATCGAGCCGGCTTTGCGACTGAGCCCTTCTGAGCGCCGGGTTGTTTTTGTCATGCTTGACTCTGGCTAGAATGACTAGAGTGACAGGCGCCTCCAAACGCCCGGGCGATAGATCTCGTCAATCGCGGTAGGGGATCCACTGCCATGGCATGTAAAACGGATGTTCGTGTGTCCGGAGAGCCACAATACCAGGGCGCCCACCAATACGCTGCCTGTTCCCTCCAGCTTCACGAGCGCATCCCGCCGAAGAAGAATAGTTCCTCGCCGATCATCCAAGCCCGCACGCCCTCGGTGAGGCTGTCCTACGTGGCTAACGAGACACTGTACGACAGGGCACTGGATGGTCGGGTCCTAGGCGCACGGTGCTGAGGTTGAGGACCTCGGGAGGTGGGGGCAGGCGCCCCAATCGGCAGGCACCGTCCGCACGATGCAGTCCACGGGTTGGTGAAGCCTATAGCCTGCGGGCGCATATGGCCCGTTTTGCTTTTGTGCGTGCAACGCATTCTTACTCCAACTGCAACAGACCAGGGACGCTGCGCAGCCATGACATGTCAGAGTCGTGACAGAGTCGTCACGATGAGGCCTCCACAATAGAGTTCACACCCCGGTCGTGACGGGCCATGATGTAACCAGTTCGCCGAGGAACTCCATTTAACTCTGCTGCCATCGTGGCTTGCCTCTTGCAGCATCGCACATCTACTTTCGTGTATGCACAACATAGCCCCCAGCAGTGAATATGGCACAATCTTCCTTCTCATTGGCGTCGCGGACCAAGGTGCGTCGACGAGACCGTACTAGACGCCGCCCATGTCTGACAGTGGCAGCTTTCTAATGGCCTGTCCATGCCAACGATCCATCTCGGCGTTTACCTGACGTCCGGGAAGGAGACTTATCAAGCCGTCCGGTGGGCGCTTGAGGTATGCTTTTGCCGTTCCTGATGATCAGTAACCATAATGCTCACCACGGCAGGCTGGCTATCGAGCGTGAGTAGCATCACGAGACCAGGCTTTCACACGGCTGACGGATGACGCGTACACAGAGTCGATTCAGCTCAGATGTACCATAACGAGAAGGAGTCTGGCAAAGCCATCTCTGACTTTCTCGCAAGTGATGCTAACACCGAGTCGCTCAAGCGCGAAGACATCCACTTCACTTCGAAGCTAGCGTCCAACTCCGCATACGAAACGGCCCGCAAAGCCATCAAGAGATCTGTCAAGGAGGCGGGTCTTGGCTACATTGACCTATTTCTGTTGCACTCCCCATATGGCGGCAAGCAGGCGCGTCTCGACAGCTGGCGAGCGGTGGAAGACGCAATCAACGACGGCGAAGTCAAGATTGGAGGCGTCTCCAATTATGGTGTCAAACATGTAAGTAGACCCTGGTTCCCGTCTGTTTGCTTTAGTTGTCTCGGGAAGGCCCGTATTCAGTCTCTAGTGCGAACATACACCCAGGATAGGAAAGTTGTTGTAGTCGCCCTCATTGGACTCTCCAGTATAGTCATGAGCGTCACCGAACATTCAACCTCGCCGAGGTCAGTCACTGATGATATGCTAGTTGCAAGAGCTATTGGACTCCAACCCCCGGATTCCTCCAGCGGTTAACCAGATCGAAGTTCACCCGTTCAATACGTGAGTTCCCCGAAGGGACTGCATCGCATGCGTAACTATGCTAACTTTGTACACTAGGCGGAAGGACATTACTTCCTTTTGCCAGCAGCACAACATTGTCGTAGAGGCATACGCGCCGCTGGCCCGAGCCTTGCGCATGACGCATCCGAAGATTGTGGCCCTGTCCAAGAAGTATTCGTGCACTCCGGGCCAGCTTTTGGTCCGCTGGAGTCTGCAACACGGCTATGTGCCACTGCCCAAGAGTGTGAAGAAGGAGCGAATCGTCGAGAACTCAAAGATTGAAGGCTTCGTAATCGAGGATGGCGACATGGAGGCAATGGATGCGTTGGACGAATACCTAGTGACCGGTGAGTTCCTTTGGGTGCCTGGCATACGCAGCCATGTCAATACTTTCATCCCGCTACTTTTGCTGACGTGCAACTTTTCTCCAGATTGGGACCCTACCGATTGCCCGTGAGTGTGCTCAGTGTGGAGGCAGAGATGTCGGGCGTGGGGGTCAGCGCGTGGAGGGTGGGAAATCGATCTCTTTCACATGCCACCAAATGTAGAAATGGAGCATGCCCATCTATGCCTATTTCCGATGCATGACTATGTCGATATTGTGACGCCGCCATCGAGTCTCAAGTCATGATCTTGCAGCTCAATGACTGCAATGCGCGCATATGCGCATGACGGAGGGCGCGACGGTAGAGATTGAGGCAGTGCAATGTCGCAGAGAAGCTATTTCCACATTGCTTAGGTTTTAAGCTTGTGGGACGACGTCGCATACAAAGGTGAGGATGTCCGGCATCTCCGCAGCAGGAGGTCGCCAGCGGCCGCTTCGCCAAGACAGTCTTGCGTGGCCCAAGCTCCCGCCCACATTCCGGCTTCTCCCACTCTCCCTGCCAGTTCTCTTTACCCTGACACGCCACTAGGCGAAAGCCCAACGTAACAAGACTCCCTCGCGCGCCCGCCGACGTCGGCATCGCGTCGCCTCCCATGGTTTGACTCTCGACTATTACCGCCCGCCACGAGCCTCGAGTGGCCGGAGCCCCCGCTACTTCACGTGCAACCACCCCGCGATACTTGTCCTCGCTCGCCCATTGGCCAGATCCTTATCAGTAGAAAAAGTGCACACCATGGTTTGCATCAACATGGCGTGCAGTAGACCCCATTGACCACTGAGACGGGTCCAGCACCCCAATCTCCCGGCCTCTGACGTACTCAAATCGAGTGCGACTTTGTTCCGCGCACCGTCACCGCAGGCCCAGCGAACTATCTAGCTTGCGCCGACTGCAATTATATATACCAGACAATCTCTCCTGCCTCTTCTCTCCATCAACTTGTGACTCTTGACTGTGTCAATTTCCATCACCTCACATCTTCTTTCAGTCCCCAAGATACCCAACATCACAATGTCTGAGCCCGAGTTTGAGCAAGCCAGGAAGGGTACGTTTGCGCCTCCACATCTGCAACACATCTAACACCTCACAGAGCTCGTCTCCACCCTCGAGGCCTCCTCCCTCTTCTCCAAGAACCCCGAATACAAGAAGGCCCTCGAGGTCGTCTCCGTCCCCGAGCGCATCATCCAGTTCCGCGTTGTCTGGGAGAACGACAAGGGCGAGTGCCAGGTCCAGAAGGGATACCGCGTGCAATTCAACTCTGCTCTCGGTCCCTACAAGGGTGGTCTCCGCTTCCACCCTACTGTCAACCTTTCCATTCTCAAGTTCTTGGGTTTTGAGCAGATCTTCAAGAATGCTCTCACCGGCCGTACGTCATACCCGACTCGAGCGCATACAAACAACAAGCTAATACACCACAGTCAACATGGGCGGCGGCAAGGGAGGATGCGACTTCGACCCCAAGGGCAAGTCTGACAACGAGATCCGCAAGTTTTGCGTTGCCTTCATGAGGGAGCTCAACAAGCACATCGGTATGTCTTGACCCTAGCGCGTCCCTTCACTTCAGCCTCAGTGGGGCATGCACCTTCAACGGTTCGCATGCTCTTCCGACAGCAGACCAACGAGATCTGGCGGGTCTATCTTGCCTTATCTTCCCGTCTGTCTGGTACTGCCCCGTCGGCGACGTTCGCGCTGCTTTCTTGGTTCTCCACTAGGAACATTTCATTTACGTAAATCACAGGTGCTGACACAGACGTACCTGCGGGCGACATCGGCGTCGGTGGTCGCGAGATCGGTTACCTCTTCGGCGCATACCGAGCAGAGCGCAACCGCTGGGAGGGCGTCCTCACTGGCAAGGGTGGCTCATGGGGAGGCAGCTTGATCCGTCCCGAGGCCACCGGTTACGGTCTCGTATACTACGTTGACCACATGATCAACTACGCCTCAGGCGGAAAGGAGTCGTTCAAGGGCAAGCGCGTCGCCCTCTCTGGTTCCGGAAACGTTGCCCAGTACGCTGCGCTCAAGATCATCGAGCTTGGCGGAACCGTCATCTCCCTCAGCGACAGCAAGGGCGCTTTGATCGCCGAAGACGACAAGGGCTTCACCCCCGAGATCATCAACCAGATCGCCGCCCTCAAGTTGGAGCGCAAGGCTCTTACTGCCCTGGAGAACCACAGCTTCAAGTACATTGAGGGTGCCCGCCCATGGAAGGAGGTCAAGAAGGTCGACGTTGCTCTTCCTTCAGCGACCCAGAACGAAGTCTCCGAGGACGAGGCCAAGGCTCTCATCGAGTCTGGTGCCAAGTTCATCGCTGAGGGTTCCAACATGGGCTGCACACAGGAGGCTATCGAGGTCTTCGAGGCCCACCGTCGCGAGAAGAAGGGCGAGGCTATCTGGTACGCCCCCGGAAAGGCTGCCAACGCCGGTGGTGTCGCCGTCTCTGGTCTCGAGATGGCCCAGAACTCCCAGCGTCTGTCATGGACCGCCGAGGAGGTCGACGAGAAGCTCAAGGGCATCATGAAGGACTGCTTCGAGAACTGCCTGGGTACCGCCAAGGAGTACTTTACCCCTGCCGAGGGCGAGTTCCCATCTCTCGTCGGTGGTGCCAACGTCGCTGGTTTCCGCAAGGTCGCTGCTGCCATGCACGACCAGGGTGACTGGTGGTGAACAGTTCGCTGCTGAGCGGATTGTCTTTTGTATATGATACCTTACGATACCTTCATTGTCTTTGGCGTTCGGAAGCTGGAAGCTTCCACTTGTATATAGATACCTTACATGAACAGAATCATGAAATATTTCACCACATTCTTTCGCATCACTCCTACTTGAATCAGACCACCAAGCAAGTCATTCACACACACGTATCACTTTGCAACTGAACACTGGAGAAACCCGCACGCAGAAACTCCCAATAAGACACAGCTATCCAAAATAGACACGATCCTAACCCAATCTTCAGCATTCACGACTCACAATATTCATCACGCCATCACGTCACCAAGCCACCAAGAAATTACTCACCACAAAAGCAATGCCCAAACTTTCCTAGTCAGGGCTCAAGCAGGTGGCAGTCGCGTGGCGCCCCTCCACGCGCCCCTGCCCCGCCAAAAAAGCAAAGCAAGATCCCGACCCCACTGCTCTCGTCCACGTCGAAGAAGCAAAAAGCCCACGCGCCAAATGCGAGTTGGGCGCGCATAGCTTATTACCGCTTTTGATTAGCGGCACGCCCGCGGCGAGGGAGTGAGTTGGGGTTATGTTATGCGTTTTGTCAGAGTTGCGCCGGGATGGGGGTGGGTGGTATGGGTATGTCTTGAAAAATTGTCATGCCTGGACTGGAACCGTGATGATGTGCCGGCGCGTGAGTGTCGCGTCGCACCGTGGGCGCCGATGCGCGGTGCGCGGAAAAGAGAATCGGAGACGGAAAAGTGTGGCGACGCTCGGGAGGGATGGGTTACCTTGTTTGGTGTGGTTCGATATCGGAGGGCGATGTCGGGGGGTGTTGGGTTGGGGTTGCGAGGGCCGGAGGGGGTAGGGATGGGTGTAGATAGTATGGATGGCTTGAATTTGATGGATTGTGATTGTGAGTGATGGTTATGATGTCGGTGGGTGGTGGGAGATAGCCGTTGTAGTGCGCGACGTGTTATACTGTGCGGTGGCCTTTATCATCGCGGATCAGCATCAATTCTCACTGTAGATGTAAGAGGTTTGCATGAGCCTTTGCATCTGATGCACATAGATCATGTATTTAACGTTTGTATATTGCTACACCAGAAATCGTACATCATCCAAGCAGAGTAGTCCATTCCCTTAGTAAATCATCCACCTCGTCCACCTGACTTACCTTTTCCGTCTCATCAATGTAATTCCATGAATCCTCAGCCTCTTCATTTTCTGAAGTGTCTTCTTGACTACTTGGGGAAGAGTACTCTTCCGAGCTCTCTTGTCTCTGCCGTACAAATTGCTGTTCTCGAGCGTGAGGTAGTTTTTCAACTAGGGGTATGCGCATTAGCGATACTGCAATTAGTCTCTTGAGGAGAGTAATGAATGTTTCTGCAAGTTTCGAAAGGCACTTACGTTGCTCGTCTTCCGTCTCTGTGTCAATTGCACAAGGGATGACCTGTGGAAGACAGAATGGTCCTCTTCGTCGTTCCCTTTCCGCCCCCGTGTTCTCTCCCTCCAACACCCGGTCACGCCGCGTTTCCTCTTGCAGCTTATTGATTCCATCTCCTTCTTGCTCACGCTCAATATATTCGCCGGGATTAAAATAGAGGCTCGAGACCCTGTGGTAGCGTTGGTAGTTTTGAGGAAAGCAGGGATGAGAGGGATGAGAGTGACGGCGACGACGGGGGCGGGCAGGCGATGGCTTGCGGTGGCGGTATCGTAGGGCCCCTACACTTTCTAAGGCCATTGTCACCATTCGCTCCTCTTCTGCCCTCTCCTCATCTCGGTTCGACTCCGACTCGCGATCCGTACCCTCTTCTTGCTTGTCGCTACCGTCTTCTGCTTGCTTGTCGCTATCGTCTTCTGCTTGCTTGTCGCTATCGTCTTCTGCTGGCTTGTACTGGAACTGCCAAACTCCAGAACTAACGCCGACCAGAACACGAGAGCGGGAGCGTGACCGTTCATGGTGTCTGGTAGCTGCGCCGATGCGACCTCTTAGGCCTGCTGACTCTGGGATGTCTTCGTTGCGATCAATAGGCTTGCGTGTCCTCGACGCCCCTGACGACGCGCGTTGCCAGTGGGGTACTTTACCACTACTACGAGTCGAAGATGAATCCGTGTTCGACCCTTTCCGCTCCTCTTGCTCTTGTCGTTTTTGTTCTTCCTCTCTCTTTTCCTCTCTCATATCCTCTTTCCCTTCTTCTCTCATCCTCCTTTTCACTTCTTTGATCCTCTTTCTCGCTTCTTCTAGCCTTCTCTCTCTTCTTTCCGCCCTCTCTTCTTCCTTAGCTTTCGTTTCAGCTTGGTCGATAGGAGGTGCAATTCCGTCGTTGCGCAAATCCCATGGGTCTTGTAAGCCTGCGAACGGGGCGACCTGACTAACGGGTGAACGTCCAACGGTTAGGAATTCTGCTGTTGTTCGGAAGTGACGCGGGCGCCTCCTCCGTTCTCCTGTTTCTATCTGTTCGTTCTTGTTCTTGTCCTTCTTGGAACGTCGTTCGGCCTCTTGATTGGATTCACTAGATGCATAATGGCTGCTTTCTATCTCTTCAGATGTATATCCGTGTGAAGATAAAGGGGATTCATCTCGGGCTGACTGCGATGGCTGTACAGGTAGGCGGTCATAGCGCCTTCTAGCTGCTCTATGCATAAGATCGATTCGATCAGGTACCTCGGTTACAAGTCCACCGTCTGAAGCTTCATCCGTCTCTGTGTCGGTCCCAGTGCTAGTCTTTTGGAGTTTAGGTGAGGAAGCCGCGCGGTAACTACTTGACCTATACTCTGCCTTAGAAGACAAGCCGACAAATATGTCATCGCTTTTTGTGTTCATTGCAGTACGGTAGCCTGTTGTGGCCATCATTTCATCTCGTCTTTCGCGCTCGAGACGTACTTCCCGTTCTTCCAGCAAAGCTAGTTCACTCTCATCATCGAGCAAGCTCTCAGGAGGTTGGTAGTAAATAGCACTATGTCGTTCTCGCTTTCGCTCCAGCTCGGAGCTCTGCACCATCTCATCTCTTGACCTTTCGGGTCTCAAATCAGCGGGGCGAGATGTCCTGGGAGGCTCTACATGTGCCGCCACATCGGATACCACGGAGGAAGTGTTGGTGCGCTTCTTGCTGATTGATTGCCGAAATCTCGCATCAGTGGCATTGGCTTGAGACTTGCCAAGCAGGACACTGTCGAGATGAGAGCGAGCGAGGAAGTAAGATCCGATAGCCTTCTGATGGTGATCTGAGTGGTCATCGCCATTTACTTGTTCGGCCAAAGCAAGCTGCAGTGTCTCAATGTCTGCAAGCAAGCTTCGTACATGGTCCACGCATGTGGCAAGCGTATCGGGGTTGATTGTTGAGCCGATAGCTCCAGCAGTGTTGAAGAGGTCAGACGACGGATCAATGTCGTCTTTATCCTGTAGCGATCGATCACCATCATCAACGATAGTGCTGCCATCGCTTATACTGAAATTTCTCAGCGACTCCTCGTATTTCTTTGTGGCCTGCTTCTTGTTCTCGAGTAACTGCTTGATCTCTTCCCGGTGCTTCGCTTCAGCCTCGCGATTGTACTTCTCCGATGAAACTTGATGGGCGTGTATGAGTACCTGCATCAACAGCTCCAGCGTGCTCTTGAGCTTATCGATTTGGCTTCGGAGCAGTTCGATCTTATTGTCTTTGAAGGGCAACATCAGCCGACCCATCTTCCCTGGCTTGCCCTTGTTGATTTTCAACTCAAGTTCCGTGAAAACCGCAAAACACTCCTTGATTGTCTCGTTCGCCGTCCTGACTGCATTTTCTGAAATCAGGTTTGCAGTCTCGTCTCTCTCGAAGATGGTCCCCAGCTCTTGTATGACGAAGCTTGTGAGCTTAACTTCGTTCGCGATATCCTTGATTCTGCGATCGGCAGAAGCCACACCATCGGCATACTGGTACAGCGTCTGGGACAGCTTCAAGCCAGCGCCAGCCAGCTGCACGACACTGGCGACCAGGCCTACCACTTCCGCCATGATAGATTACATGCAGCTACGGGAAGATGTGGCTCTTAAACATGACGAAAAAAGACAACAATGGCTTGGAGAGAAGTTGCGAAATGGGAAGAACATGGTGACAATGCGATTGTAGCGTCTTCAATGTGTTGATGCCTCGAGCTAAGCGGGCTGAGTTGCGGCTGAGTGCGCGGGGTAGCACACCCCGTCTGCGCTGCACGAACACGACCCGTGATGAAACAGCCTTGCATCTCATTTCGCAAGCAGTCATCATTAAGCGCTTCATCTCGAGAACACTGCGAACATCCCACAACGCGAATAGGACTCCGAACGGGCTAACCGCGCGAAGCATAGTTTAGACCGCAAACTTGGATAGTTCGTTCGCAAGGTTCCCTCAAGCATCATCGAGCGTCAAGATCCCTGCCTGTCAGCCGTCTTTCCACTGATCGCCACGCGCTGGCTGCCCCAATTGGATGCCACACTTCTCCTGCGCCACAGAACCACGGTATGATATCATGGGGTCTTCAGCGGGCAGAGAGGCCTTGCTTCGGGTTTCGTCCTCGATACAAAGACTTCCCCACTACTGACATTGACGCACCTTGCACATACTCCCATACTGTTTGATATACATACAGTATTTTCTTATTCCAGGGTCAAGAGCTTCGACCACCGTTCCCTAGACCTGCTCTCCACGTGCTCGTCGTGATCGGGTCCCACCTGTCAACCGAATTTGGGTGTACTGCTGGCAATGGATGACGGTTTCCGACAGCCTGCCAAACTTCAAAAGCGAAAGAGTCGCGAACGACAGGAGCTTGAGCAGATGACTGGTGGCTTGAGTGGTCAACCCGCAGCCAATTCTTCGCAACCCATGTCCGGCTCCGACAACATGACGTCGGCTGAGAAGGAAAAGCGGTCGAAATGGCGCATGTCCAATCCATTCTCTTCCAAAGAGAAGGCATCGAAAGATAGTCTTAATCCTGCTCATAAAGAGGAAGAAAAGGAAAAGGCGCGCAGGGATGCCGACTCGGCGTATTACAGTAGCGAGCGCAGCAGCGCAGATCCAAGCTTCAAGAACCAAGCTCGTCCCATCTCCGGTGAACAGTACAACCATCCGCCTACGAACAACCAAGCACCTCCCGCTCACACTACACCGCCGAACGGGCAACATCAGAATACCCTTGCGCCTCCCACGCAAACGCAACAAACGCTTCAAAGCCGGTCGAGCCATGAGGATGTGGGCCGAGAGACATACCGCGATGCCGGTTCGGGGAACATCGTCACCGTCACAACCACCACCACAACGACGACGACCACTACAACCGGCCCAGGTGGCTCTACTACTGTAGAGCAGCCCCGGGGCGACAGCGTTGCTCCGTCTGAGCAAAGCGTACACACCTCTGGTCCCAGCCCACCACAGCCGGCTCCTCCTCAGCCGGACAACCACTATCATCAAGGCCCCGGTCTATCAGCGCAGTCCGCTATACCTCATAACATTACTCCACCCGTGCCTATGAGCAACAACCAGCCAGGCAACAGACTATCTCCACAAGTCTCCAACACCGACGGCCCTTCGTCCCCACCCATACCAGCGAAGAACAATATACGGCATAGAGTAGAGCTGGACTCGGTATCACCTGGAGTTCAGAGGCCGAACCCGATGGAGGAAGTTGTCAGCCCAGTCACTCCCAGCAGCCCAAACCGTGCGAACTTCTCCTACCCTGCGAGAGCACCACCTCAAGGAGTTCCACGGCAGGTGCCTGGGAATGGTATCCATCCAGACCACCAGCGGATGGACTCTCAACAACACGAGGAGGGTATCCCACCTGTACCTCCAGTTCCAGGACAACAGCAACCACCGCGACGATCGAGCATTCCTCAGATGCCCGCATATCAGCAGCAGCAATCCGGCATGCCGCCCATGCCGAGCCAACAGCCATCCAGCATACCCCCTAGCCTACAGTCCGGCATCAACACCAACCATGTCAACGATTCAGACCGCCCGGTTCCATACCGCGCTGGTCACGATCTGAACAAGCAGAGCACGATGGCGAACCTCAAAGCTGCAGCAGCAGGTATTCACGTAAGCACCACACATACTCCCACTTCTCATGCGAAACCATACTAACACCACCCTACAGGGCGCAGGAGAAACCCTCCGCGGAACCTTCAACGACACATTCGACCGCCGCAACCCCGCCGCGCACGCCAAAAACCAAGCCGTCATCGACAAAGGCCGATCGGAAATCGAAGCCGCACGCGCCCGCCAATACGCTGCCCAACAACAGCAGCAGCAGCAGCAGCAACAACCACACATGGGGAATCATACATCGGTGTCGCACCCGCAGCCACAAGGACCTACGATTGGAGCTGCACCACCGCCCCCTTCTCAGGCGGGTGTAGGCCAGTCAGCGGTACCGGGCAAGACGGCGTATCAAGGGCCGCCGGTGTCTGGATCGCAGATTGAGGGGAGGAGTGGTGGAGGTGGGAAGTTGAGTAATATTATGAAGAAGATGAAGGAGGGGCCTACGCCGAGGCAGGATGGGGCTGCCAATCATCCTTGAGGATGTGGTTTGATATGGGATTGTAATGCGATGCGATGAGTTTGTGCAGGGCCAGATACCATAGTGGATGTTTCAATACGATGATAGCAATGACTCTACTTTACTTTGGACGGAAGTGAGATGAGCAATGGGTATAAATAACCTCCGAAGTAGCATGCGTGAAGTCAGAATGGAAAGACATCAGACGGCGTTATCATGTATCACAATGTGCGAAATAGGGTCAATTGCATTATGATTCATTTATTTGACTATATTACATGCTCGTAAACTCGTAAGATGCATCATCCGCGTCAAGGTTACCTCCACTGCAACAGCGCCATTTGCTTAACCGTTAACGATAGTACCACCGTTAGCGTGAATAGTCTGCCCACTAATCGAACTGCTATCATTGCTAGCCAAGAAGACAAAGCAAGTAGCAATCTCGCTAGGCTGTGATGGCCTGCCAATCGGCGCAGTGAACTGCTTGATAGCCTCGTCGTTCATAGTAGCAGGGATGAGAGGAGTCCAGACGGGACCTGGTGCAACGGCGTTGACGCGGATACCCCGTCCGACGTACTGGTTTGAGAGACCGCGGGTGAAAGCGACGATGGCGCCCTTGGTGGAGGTGTAGTCGAGAAGGTCGGGACGGCCGACGTAGGCGTTGATGGAGGCGTTGTTGATGATGGTTGCGCCGCGCTTCATGTGGGGGAGGGCGTACTTGGAGAGGTAGAAGAAGGGGTGGATGTTTGTGTCGAAGGTGTGGAGCCATTGTTCCCTGTGCACTGTTAGTATGTGATCTCAGCAAGAAGAGGAAGTGATACGTACTCAGAAAGGTCGTGGATGTCGTTGATCATCATCTGGTAGGCGTGGTTGTTGACAAGGATATCAATGCCACCCATCTGCTTGACAGCCTCGTCGATAACCTTCTGGCAGTTCGCCCTCTCCTTCAGGTTGACGGCCAGAGTGTAGCACTTCTGTCCCTTCTCCTCTACCATCTTCTTGGTGTCTTGTGCGTCCTTCTCTTCTTCGGGAAGGTAGGCAATGAAGCTGTCGGCTCCCTCCATGGCGAAGAGAACGGCGATTGAGCGGCCAATGCCGGAGTCTCCACCGGTGATAATGGCGCGCTTGCCCTTGAGCTTGCCGGCCGCCTTGTACTTCTCTGCTCCTCCCTCGGGTGTTGGGAGCTCGTCGACCTTGGGCAGGGGGTCTAGCTTGGACTCGAGGCCGGGGGCCTGTTGGTGCTGAACATCGGGCTGGAAGCCTGTGATACCTGGTAAGCACAGGAAAGTATTTGGACGCTGTCAGGCGTGCTTACCCTGCTCGAATTGTCCCTTGTTGGACGACATGTTGTGTGGTTGTTTGTGGGTATCTCGGGATCAGTAAAGAGAATCTAAAGAAGAGAAACTGAGTGCAGTTGTTTGATTCAGGGTGAAGTTGGTGTAATTGTCGAAGCCAGCGCCGTTCAAAGTGGCACTTTTATTGACGTTCATGATTTCTTGTGACATCACAAGGCTGTCACGGCACGCTCATGTGCAAGAGTGGAGCCTGGTTTGGTAAGAGTTAGGCGGAACATCACCGAAAGATGGGACTATTGAAATGTCCATCGACGATAGAATGCCATCGGTCGATGTGTCAACGCTGGCACGAACTGGTGGGAACGGCTAACGTCGCCTCAGCCTTACCCGTAGCTTTGACGCGCTTTTTTGCACGGCCTTATGATCGATGTGTGCACTGTTTGGAGATATAGAATACAAGAACCTCAAGATGGAAACAAAACGAAGACAACAGCTCGGATTACTTACGAGAAATGCAGTCGGGGCACCTTCTGAAGCAACCCCACCAAGCTCGTCGGTCGCGACGTCATCGAGTCGATCAGACCTACAACACTTTTCCAGACTTCATCATGCCCACAACCTTATCGTAATAAAGTCAGTACCGTATTAACACCGAATACATTCTCATCCAACACCTCGGCGCCGTATTCGCAATCTTCACAACCCAGCGATGACGCCGATGAAGCTATTCAGAGGTATGACGTACTTCGCGCCCTAAAATCAGGGTCCAGCCGCGCCGCGCTATGACCTTATCCAGCCTCGGCCTCCCACCCCGATTCCAAGACCCCTAGCACCAACGGCCATCGTAACTCGCTCTTTGCATGGAACAAGCCACACCAAGGCCCGTTGTGACAAGGTAAAAAAAGCTGTTAGGGCACGTCATGCGCCACGACTCATGTAACCAGGGCACAAGCTTGTCCGGGTCCCTGCATGACGTGAGATAGACGATCGCAGCCAGATGCAGGGTGCTGGGCATGGTAGAACTTGATTTCAGGGACTTGGAGGGGAATGAGATTGCGTGGACTGGGTTTTGGGGACGGTGGGAGGACGTGGTATAAGATGGGGGTTATAGCTCGCCTTTGTGTGTTCACATCACTACACCATTCTATCTATTATAAGCTATCCATCCTAAGAGCTTCCAACTCTACAACACAACCACATCTCTACCTCATCCAAACCAAACCTACCAACGCAACTTTCAGCAATCATGCCTCTCGCCCGCCGCGCCGCTCCTCGCACCACTACACGTGCTCGCCCGTCCCTGAAGACCCGCCTGCTGGGTGGACGCAAGACACGCACCACCAAGCGCGCACCCGCGACTACCGTCACCACTACCACGACTACCAGGACCACTCGCACAACTGGCGGTCGCCACGGTCACGCTACTACTGCGGCCCCAGTCCACCACCACAAGCGCCATGCTACCATGGGTGACAAGGTCAGCGGAATGATGATGAAGTTGAGGGGTTCTTTGACTCGCAGGCCAGGTCTCAAGGTAAGAAATCGGTGTTCTTGATAAAATGTACTTGACTAACGTTATGTAGGCTGCTGGCACTCGCCGCATGCACGGTACTGACGGTCGCAACGCCCGCCGTGTCCACTAAGCTTCTCTGACGAAAGCTACGAGATAATTTCCTTTATTGTTAGCATGACGATGAGTGTACGATAGGCATGGAGATACCCGATGTTCGAGCGTTTAGCACTTAATGAATCTCATACAGTTCCAACTTCATCACTTTGAACTTGTGTTGAATGCTGTATATTTTGATCGTGATCAACAGCTATATGTGACTACTCCATGAGCTCAGCTCTTCTCGTCATCTCTGCTTGGACCTACTCCTACCGACTCGCATGTCCCCACTAGACGTGCTTATGCAGCATCTACAAGATGTTGCATGAACGCGTGATGTACGAGCACTCTGGCAAGTAAATCCGCCTATCCCGAGACCTTCAATCCTCTTCCGGCGCACGGTAGCCGTCAGGACCTCGGAGAATCTTCTCACGGAGGTCCGGTCGACCGAGCCAGGATATGTACCAGGTAGGTTGACCATGCTTGATGCGGCACTTTGTATCCCAGCGACCTCCAACGGACCGGTTGTGTTTCTCATACTCGTCGTCCAAGTTATCTCCGCGAGGTTTGCTACGGTCCATACAATCAAGGCACATGCCATTGAAGTATCCGAGCGTGTTGGACATCGCCTTGAGGACGGTGCTCTCCCAGTCGATGCTACGGCAGCGATTGCACTTCGCAGTGTACGCGTAATCGAAAGCCTTGAGGCGACGTACGACCTGGCCGATACTGGAGTAGTTGAGGACATCGTCGACTGGCCAAGCATCGCACTTGGTGAGGGCTAGCTGGTAACGACCGATAGTGGCATCCCAGCAGGAGCACAGCGAAGTCTCGGAACGAAGGATTCTGCCGACGCGCGAATAGAGTGACTTGTGAAGAGAGTTACGGAGGCCTCCGCGGGCATGGTTTAGAGGACCTGTTGATCAATGTTGGCATTCGGAGCTTTTTGGTACATGCGTGTAGATGGGCAGAAAAGAGAAGAAGAGACTTACCGACAAACATGCGCTCGTTGATGTGAAGGTGCTTGGGACCCTTGAAACCCTTCGGCGGACGCTCCTTGACGTGTCCAACATGCTCATAGGCGAGGTACTTGGTGACCCGTGCATAGCCAACAGCATGGTCGAAGATATAGCAAGGGTATGCGAGGGCTCGAGCAGTCGGAACAGTCAGGTCGACTTTGGCCATGTTCTTCTCGTACCACTTGTTGAACCAAGGCCCCAAAGTCTCTTTGATGTTGCCTTCTTGACGGGTGTCCCAGAGCGATATCGCATGCCAGACTCCCACATGCGAGACCTATCCAGCTGTTAGCACGAATAATAAGATGTCTCAGAACCGCGTTGGCAAAGCATAGCAAGGGAGCTACATACTAGTAATAAGTCAGCAAGATATCTTGAGAGCTATTCGTGGCGGCTACTCTACCCTTGAAGAGACCCAACTCTTCCAGTCGCTGCTCGGGGAGCTCATGGAGATGGGCGAGCCAGATGAGAGTACCCTCCTTGTTCTCACCGTCGTAGTCGGATGTGGCGTCACCACCGAAGGTAAGCTCTGTCTTATCCTTGCTAGCTTCGAGGAGAGCCTTCAGGTAAGGTGACTTGGCGCAGATATCTAAACTGACGAGCAGGTCTGTGACATGTTTGACGCCATCGTCATCGACAGAGCCGATGATGGTAATGCACAGGTCAGACTGCGCAAAAGGTCAGCTAGAAGTCTACATTGCCTGGATCTCTCGGCGAGCTTCGTGTTCATGGCTATTGTATACTGCAGGGCACAGGTGAAGGTCGCTTACCAAGCCAGCTTCGGTCGTGAGCACAATGTCCTGATCTTGGACCAGTGATACTGCCGGTCCTTTGCGGGCAGTGAGTCCTGGCATCGTGGGCGATTGGCTGATGCGACGGTTGTATCTGAAAGAGTCGCAGCTTGAAAATCGGAACGTGTGTAAACGCGGTAGATAGAAAGAGCAACGCTTGGCGTTGCCGCTAACAACACGCTCTCATGTGACTGGCTACAATAAAGGGCAACGACGCCCACACCGCTGAGCACAGTTGAGTAGAAGCTTCCACCTCATACAAGGAAAAAGCTGAACAGGTACTGTGCCGTCTACGTTGATATAAGAGTTGAAATTTACATATCCTCTGGGGTAATGTAGACTTCTAGGAGGCAGTTGTTCAATTTTTTCATGTATGAGGTGCTTCGGTGAACCTTGTTCTTCCAAATCTACGACTACATATCAAGTGCGCTGAAAGCATCCGCGATGTTTGACACTAGTGCGAGCATACCTTGGAGCTGCAGATATCTGTACGGACTTTACCGTATTGCGAACAACTCAAGGATGGATCTGTATAGGAACGCCACAGATAGAGTAACATGCTGACTTGATGAGATAGGATATGAAATAGTCGAGGAGAGCTTTGATGTTGCGACTGTAGAAGGAAAAGATAAGGCAAGGAAGCTTTTACTCCGTGTCAACTTGGTGGGCCTGTGCTTCACGGCCATGTTCGAGTAGAGTGACGAGAGGCGGCCAATGAAGCAAGACGCAGGCAGTGTATTGTACCAAGTAATATCAAAATATACTAGATCCATTCCGGAAAGACGCGTATTGTGTAGTACGGTGGACTCTGGAGCCAATCCAATTGGGCAAGGGACGGTCCATTGCTGGCGCTCAGGTGATTTCGCGGTCTTCTCAAGTAGTATCATGTCAGAGATGTGATTTCATGAATATGATCAGCGTAGGGTGTATGACACATCTTAGTGTTGATGAAAATGATGATGAAGTCGAGGAGCAAGTCCAGCCAGGCCATGCCCCACTAGCGCAACGATGCAAACCATGCAAACATCATCACCACCGAATCCACTGATCTCGTCCATCCATCTCCAAATCCACCGAATTGGGATTCCACCACAACACCATGCCTCCTCCACGGCTTTCCCCAGCGCTACTTCGCGCGCGACCGCAAGCGAATTACCAATGTCTCCGCCGCATCGCACCCTTCCGCCGCGCATCAACCACACCACCGCAAAGCGACATAAAGCCCGTCGTACCCTGGAAAACACCAACCAGCGTCTGGTCACCTGAGAACCTCATACCCCCACCCAAAGATGGCGAGATACTGCTTGAGCGCCGGCCAAACCGCGCATTACCACCGTATGTCCACCTTTGCACAACACCCATCCTCAGCCCATCGACCCTCCATCTACACTCCGTCTCCGCAACAACCCACTAACAAGCCCCCCTCCCAGAGTCCCACCCCTAATATCCCCGCAAATCCTCAAAACAATGCCCCTCTTCATCCTCGCCATGACCGCCTGCCTCTTCGCCTTCTTCAACTACCAAAAGCAAGAATCCTCCGTCGTAACCGCAACCCTCTACGCTTTGCGCACAAACCCGCTTGTGCGCGAGCAGCTCGGCGACGAAATCTATTTTGCGAGTAAATATCCGTGGATCAAGGGCGAGATCAACCAGCTGCATGGGCGCATTGAAATCAGCTTTTGGGTTAAAGGGACGAAGAGGGCGGGCGAGGTCAGGTTGACGTGCAGGAGGAGGGGCAGGGGTGGGCTGTATTATACCAAGGAGTATAGTTTGACCTTGGAGGATGGGACGAGGTTGGAGCTTTATGATCCGAAGGGGAATGCTATTGATCCGTTTCAGGCGATTGCTGTGGAGGAGTAGAGGAAGAGGTGGATGGAGAACATATCGTGGCTGTCATGGGGAGAGGAGCAACTCTGATGTCCGGAGTGTGTGGATTATTGGGAAGTGCTGGATGCGAAGACTGACAGCTCGAAACGTTACGGCTGTCGGCAAGCACTTTCGCAAAGCACCAAGTCAGGAAAGATCAGCGAACTCTCACGCTGTGTACCATATGTAAATATATATGCGCATCACATATCACTAAGATGCAATGACGGATCTAGTCATGAAATAGCAATACTAAATATTGCTAAGAGAGGAGTACATGCTAGTAAGAACCCCAGAAAAGAAAATACCGCTTCCAATGAAGGACAGCTCGCTCGACAGATAGGCGTCCTTCTGGAGCGTCAACGATAGTAGTCTCAAGGTGCCAAACGCCAATGCTGTGTGTAGCAGTATGCTGATGTAACAACTTAAAGAAAAGAAGAAAAAAGAAAGTGGTATCATAGTAATCGTACTCCATCCTCACAACCTCCCCCACCCCACATCCCTCCAGTCCAGTCCACCTAGAACTTCTCGTAATCCGCCTCAGGCCTCCTAACACTAGGATGATGCGCCAAATTCGGCTTAACAAGATGAGCAAACTGCGGATTCACATTCAACGGATAGCTAATCTCCGGCATGCGCGCAGTCTCCTCCTCCTGCTCCTCGCGCTGGCGCTGCCAGAACTTCTTCCTGGCGGGCTCGCCCGACGTGGTGCGTGAGTAGATGGAGCTGGAGGGGCGGTGGTGCGAGAAGAAGCTGGGTTTAGCTGGTGACTGGCTGTGGTAGGAAGGGAGGAATGACTGGCGGGCGTTGCGGAAGGCGCGGAGGGGGCTGAAGTCGAATTGCGAGAGGCGGTTTGGGTCTTCCTTTGTGGGAGAGGGGACTTGAGGGGAGCCGCAGTCGACGGGTGGGGTGCCTGTGCGCATGGGGGGTGGGCTGTTGTTGAAGTTGCTGCGCGACGAGGTGCTGCCTGTGTGGTGCGTGGTTATGGTGAAGGCTTTGTGCTTGGGGTCGTATTGGGATTGCGTCTCGGCGTCCTCGTGGAGGGTCATGGCGCCTCGTGAGCGGACCATGCGGGCGGTGATTCGCCGAGACTTGTCGCGGAAGACGAAGCTCGCGACGATGTTGAAGAAGCCGATGACGATGGCTAGGATGCCAGAGGCTACGAGGAGGCGCCAGAAAGGTAGGGTGAGCGACTCTTGGCTTGTGGCTTCTTTGTTCATGTTGCCGAGCATGTTGAGCCCGACTATCATCATCGCGCAGCCTAGAGTGACGAAGCCATGCGTGGGGCTCAGGAGTGGCCAGTTGCGGGCGTAGAAGTTGCGGAAGAGAGAGCATTCTGAGACGATGAAGAAGAGTCCGGCGATTGCGGTGATCACATGGCTCGTGGCATCGAAGAAGAAGAACTGTTGGCTGTAAGCTTTTGCGGGTCTCGAGGGTGGGTTACTAGACGTACCTTGGAGATGATAAAGGTCTTCACCAGCATGACCACGCTGCTGGCGACCACGGAAGCGAGAGCAATAATGTTCAGACCGCGCAAGACGTTGAGGATAATGTAGCCCGGACCAGCCAGGTGTTCGGCTGAGAGAAGCGCCATTTCGTTCGTGAAGAGAGAGTCGTAGGATACTGAATCGTCCAAGTTCGTAGAGAGATACAATTGGTCTGTCCAGCAGTCGCGTCGAGCGTAGGGGTAAAGAAGAGAGAGAGAGCGTATAGATTGAACAAAGTTAAGTTTACGAAGATAAAGGTAAAAGGGAGTATCCCACGCCGTCAAGGCAGCACGCCTTCAACAATAGTAACAATAACGAACAATAGAGACGTGAAGACTGAAGATAAAATGGAGAAGCAAGAACTCCACGTGAAGGAGGAGGGGAGCCTCAGGACATAATTCGCCGCTAGCCTGACCTGCCCATAGTCGCGAACCTTACAATAGAATCCAATATCGACCGTCGCGCTGGGAAAGGCTCGTCGCCTCACCTTCGAGTGGCCCAAACGACTCCAGCGACCGTAGTCGCGCCCGTACTACCGGCCCATGTGAAACGCTCCCCGCTAGACTCGGCGGGAACGGCACTGCGAGAGGGCGGCCCAGTCAATCATTTCGCAGCGAGCAGACTCGGCTGCGAAATTGTTGCAAGGCATCGTACAGGGTCAACGTGGGGTTTTGGCGTCCAGCCGATGAGGCGCGGTTTGGTCGAGGTGTGGCAGTCGCGTAATGATTGGTGTTGACGCCTTGAAACGCGCTCGCGTAGCCGCAAGGGCCGTGTTTCAGAGCTAGAAACATCCGCACGCCATGGGCTGCACCACCGCGGGCGGCAAGACATAAGCGGGCCTTCAATCGTTGGTAGCCCGTCCGTCCAATGTGAGGCGCCACAGTCTGGGAGTCGTTGTTTTGGGGTGCTTGCAGTGGAGATGGAAGGCGCGAGACTGGCGGGTACACAGGGCGCCAAGCGAGGGTCTGTCAGCAACGGAAGTTTGTTCGAAGTGCGCTCCACATGCTCGTCCTTGATCAAACCATGATCGGCTTCTAGAGTCGTGTAAAGGGCCGGAGACAAGATGTTTAGTCACCACAGAGGATGTATGGGTCACACATGCCCAATCGATGGTAAGGAAAGATAATCATATTGCAGTCCAAGAACGATAGGGTATAATGCGGTAAAAGATCATACAGTGCGCCGAGAACCGATGGTTCAGTTGATGGTGAGCTCTCCCCCAAACACTTTGCCCACTCGATATGCCTGCCGCGACCGGGGCAGTCGACCATTAACCTATAAAGATTGTCAGTTCATTGCTCTCTTACCCTGAAAGACTGGGTATGGTGACTTACCAACGTGGTATTCCGAAAAACCAGCTCGTTGCCGTCACTGAAAGGGCGAGTATTGGTCGGAAGATTGAAGACCTGTAACAAAGACTGGTTCTCATCGCGATCGTTCGGAGCAGAGTTGCGATCCGCCGTCGATCTCTCCGTTGTGTGGTGAGGCTTCCATGCACCTTCGCTTTCATCATGAATATCCTCCCGCCCGTATTTTCGCACGTGTGCCAAACGCCAGTTCGCGCCAAAGAATTGCTTCCGTGATGGCCTGGCCTTGATCTCTTCAATCTTTGCAGCCTTCTCTTCCGAAGTCATGGTCTCAATGGAGGGCACTGTGTTGTGCGAATATGCACTACGGAAGTCCGTTCCGCGTTGGGCCTCCAGATCGTCGGAAGGCGCCCTTGTTGGACGTGAGACAGTAGCACGCTCGAACGGGTTGAATCCTGGTTCAGCATCTGTAGTAACCTCCTTCATCAATGGTGGCGGTAGGTAATCGTGAGTTATAGCATTCCGACGGCTTGGTGCACTCTTGATAGCTCTGGTAATTCTTCTCTTGGGTTGAGTTGGTTGTTCATCCTGGATTTCCTCGTGTTGCACGACATTGTCCGATGCAGCACGCTGTAGTGTGCTCTTCCTAGCCTTCCCGTGACCGTCCTGGGGTCCCGGTACTGGAGCCAAAGGAAGATACTCGTGGTACTCTTCCTCGTATTTCGCCCTATTGGCTGTGCTGGTGAAGTTGTACACAACCCGTTCATATGGCCGTCCTGAAGGCTTCACGCCGTAGAACTCAGGTTGATGGGAGAGAACTGACTTAAGACTCTTCTCCCAGGCGCCTTGGCCTTTGTTCAAGTAGGAGAATCTCAAAGCCAGCCAGTCGATTATCTCCAACGCGGTCATACCTGTGCCTTGTGCACACACCAAGGCTATCCTAGCTAAATCGCGGTTTGTGTGACGCTTTGTTGGTATAGACGGACCTGAGTGTGCTTCGGTTGGGCTTTCAGAGATAATGGAATCTCTTTCAACCGTCTCATTCGACTTTGAAACCGCTGACTCTTGTTCCTCGGCCGCTGCAGGGGCAGCTCGATCCGGCAAACCATTGGTAGAAGGGTGCTTAGGCGACATGTGCGTACCCACTTGGGTAGGTTCAGGAACAGTGGATGCCGGATTCCGAGATTGGTTTTCTCCCAGCAGATCTGAACTATGTGTTGAGCCGGAACGAAAAACATGCGGACCGGACATTCCTGCTAAGTCGTCGAGATCTGACGTCTCAGCGGGTTGGACAGAGCGCTCTCGCGGCTGATTGACCCGTGATACTGATGCGCTGTTGGACGATGAACTTTCCAGGTTTATCTCATTGAGTCTTGAAATCGTCTTCTGGCCAAGAGTTTCAGCATTCGACCAAATTCCTATCGGCGCACTCCGCTCAAGTGAGGTGTTTTGTGACGCGACCAAGACATCTGGAGCTGGAGTATCTGCGGAAGATAAGCCAGGCAGATCATCGTCACGAATCTTTCCTATATCCGGCAGGATGTTTGTCCGATCCGGGTCGAACCAGGGCATGGAGCTGGTTTTGGCTGTTATTGAACTAGGCTTATCCTCTGACATCGGCGGAACACGTGTTGAGGAAACTATTTCCACTTCATGATTACCTAATCTTGCAGCTGATGGATGACTGATCAAATTTGACGAGCTCGTTGGTCTGAGTGATGCATGACGACGAGCGGTGTCGACATCCGGAGTCTCAGGTATCTCTTGTCGGCCCGTTTCTGCAATGCGTAATTTTGTGCGACAACCGGGACTATACATCGATCAGACTTGTCTGGAATAAAACATGTACCCACGTACCACTGAGCATCTTTCTCTCCGGCCTTGACTAATGCGGTCTGTTTTCGACAGCCCGAGCAAAGAGCTGTGAAGGGGACCTGGTTTTGGGTGTGGCTCAGATAATCGAGGGCCAATGCATACTCATCATCTTGAGTAGAAGTGTCCTGTTGGGACACACGGGCGTTAGGGAGTTTTTCTAATGAATGCTCGGGTATAGAACTGTCAAACTGGCTCGACCGTTGTGATGGTGTGTTCGGAATCTCTGTACGCTCGAGCAGCTTTAGTTCAAGTGGCTGAGATGTGCCCACAAGATCCTTGGGTTTATTCAGGTTGACAGACATGGCAGCACTCGGAGTGGTTAGGGCGATCTCAGGCTCCACACGCTTTTCAGGAATGACCCCTGGGACACGATCGGGCGCGGCATTTGGAGCTCGGTGGGCGAATCTCGGTTTCAACAATTCTCTCACGACAGAGTGACTAGCGGGGGCCGGTGCTAGGGACACGCTAGAAGGTTTACGTGTTCCGATATCACTCAAGCATGCTGAGCATCGCCATTGTAGCCTGTCTTCTTTAGCCTTTATTTATCACGAAGGTGTGAGCACCTTACGCATCAGCACCCGGGGCGAGCGGAGGCTTTCGACAGCTATCATGGTATGATCTAGAGCATCCCGAGCATGCGACTATCGGGTTATAGCTCGTGGCACTGGATTTATCACAGATGAGACAGGTAGCTTTAGGAAATGAACCGGACTTCAAGGGCTTTCTTGATTGAGATACATGGCGTCTTCCTGAGATATCGCGGGCGTTCCGGTTTACATGTGGTTGAGGAACAGTTGGTCCTGGGAACGATTTGGAGACCGGTATTATGCCCGCGTTCCGGTTGCTTTGCGCAGTCGAGGTGGCTACAACGTGTTCACTAAAGCTATAGTACTCGTCAGTATGGTTAAGTATTCCTCAACATCCTCCATACCTGTGCGTGACTGCGCTAGGGTCAGTCGAAAGACCTGCCTTTCGAATCGTTGAGTTGGGCTTGCCGGATGTTGTACGTTGACGCTTCAGTGGAGGCGGTGATATCACACTCTTTCGGCGCGGCTGTGCGTGACTTTGGCTCAAGGTGGGAGGCTTCTCTGAGACTTCCTTGTCGACAATGCCAGGCCGATCATGATGTGGCAGCTTGAGACGAGGTTCAGAAGGCGCCTGTTGTTCGCTCTCATGATGTTCCATTTGAAATGTTGGACGGAGGTAGAAGGCTAGCACCTGCAATAGTACATGAATATTAGCGGGTACTTTTAAATCATCGTTGAAAAAGTCAATCGACAATGAACGAGGTGGATCCGTTCTGTTCAGTTTGTTTGTTGCATGGCAGCATTTCGCTGCACTGGAGGCTTCCACTTTGTTTCTTCAACGGGCAAGCACGCGCAAACAGTGAAGGCCGCGACATACTAGGCCACGCAGCAGGCGCAAAGGCAAACCATCTCAGTGTTCTCAGCGATCTAACCTTTTACCAATGGTCATCATGGGAGAAAGGATCCGTGTCAGGTGTCAGTACATGGGTACTTACTGGCTGTATGGTTCAGTCCGCTGACCCGACTCGGAGTAGAGTGGGCTTAGTCCGGAGAGACGCGTCTAGGACAAGGTGCCGCTTCCGCGCGACATACGGGAGAAGACGATGTGAGGACAGCCTGCGAGCAGCCATGCGGAGTTTGTGATTTCTCATGCGTATGGGTGAGAGAAGGATGCGAGGTGGCAGGTAAAAGCGAGAGTGCGCCGTTGTTGTGTCATCCGGTGTTGAGGACGGAAAGAATCAAGGGCGCCAGGGCTGTGCGTTGAGCGTGGATCGCGCTATCACGTGCCGATGATCCGGTGGGGCAGGCGCATCTGGCCTCTACGTGCACTTGCATGTGCTTGCTGTACAGATTCACCAAGTTTACAGCAGCGCATTATTCCAAGCCGCTGCTATGAATTTTCTCAAATCAGCGGTCGCGTCTGCGATATCGCAAGGCCCGGCCTTTGGTTACACGTTTGGGGATCGGGTCGATTTGAACGACTCCATCTGGACACTGCACAACGGCACAAAGCGAGTATGGCCCGGTGGTCTGCCTGTGCGCGAACGCTTGCTAACGTACGCCTGCTAGGAAGACGGCTCCAAATGCAGCATCTTCTCCTTCGACATAACCGCCAACAAGTCGCGACTGCCCCTCGCTCGCAATGCGCTCCGCAAACTACGCACCCTGCGTCATCCAGGAGTCGTGAAGGTCTTGGACACGGTAGAGACGGAGACATATATCTACATCGCGACCGAACGACTAAGCCCACTCAGCTGGCATGTTAAGAGGAAGAGTCTGACAGAAGAGACCACGAAATGGGGGCTACACAACATTGCGAAGACGCTCAAGTTCGTGAATGCCGATGCTGCGTCGATTCACGGCTGCATCCGCCCAGCATCGATATTCTTCAGCGAAAGCGGCGAGTGGAAGCTTGGCGGCTTCGATGCGCTGAGCTCTGTGAAGGAAGACGATTCCATAATACCGACCTACGGTGGTCTCATACCAGATGCAGGACGGTACATGGCTCCTGAAGTTTCCAAGGGAGGGTGGGAGGTCGTCAAGCAGAACCCGACACACGCCGTAGATGCATACAACTATGGTATCCTTATCTTCGAGGTCTTCAACGGCAGCTACAACAGCAGCGACCAGCTAGGGCAAATGAAGAGCATTCCACCAAGCATGCACCAATCATACAAACGCCTCCTCAACCCAAACCCAAAGTCGCGTATGAGCGTGGGCCAGTTTTTGGATCAGGGAAAGCGCATCGGAGGCTTCTTCCAAACACCATTGATTCAAGTGACGGACGACATTGAGAATCTGGGATTGAAAGCTGAGGACGAGCGGAATGAGCTACTCGGGTAGGTGGTTCCAGAATCCATTTCCAACCAGTATGCTGACCGATCATAGGAAGCTCGATGCGGTCGCGGACGACTTCCCGGCGGATTTCTTCAAGATGAAGGTACTTCCTGAACTACTGAAGTCTGTCGAGTTTGGAGGGGGAGGTGCCAAGGTATTCAGTACTGTCATGCAAATAGGACAGAAGCTTTCGGACGAGGAGTACGAAACTCAAATCACACCGGTTGTTGTACGGCTTTTCGCAAACCCAGATCGAGGGATACGGGTCTGCTTGTTAGACAACCTGCCGCTCATGATCGACCATCTACCTCAGAAGCTTGTGAACGATAAGATCTTTCCCCAGATGGTGAGCGCCACTTCAATTTCCTGAATGAAATACTAACATCATCAGGTGACTGGCTTCTCGGACATTGCACCGGTAGTGAGAGAACAGACAGTGAAAGCTATTCTTACTGTGGTACCCAAGTTATCAGACAGAACAGTGAATGGCGAGCTTCTTCGCCATCTAGCAAAGACCGCAAACGATGAACAGCCCGGTATTCGGACCAACACTACAATCTGTCTAGGAAAGATTGCGCGGAACTTGGGAGCTAGCGTGCGTCTTGATACATTCGACGTGCAAAATAGACACTAACATATTGACAGAGCCGAGCCAAAGTCCTCGCAGCAGCTTTCTCTCGCTCTCTACGTGACCCGTTCGTACACGCTAGAAACGCTGCGCTGCTTGCACTGGCCGCAACAGCCGATCTCTTCACGGAAGATGATTGTGCGACCAAGCTCCTTCCTATCATGTGTCCTTCATTGGTAGATAAGGAGAAGCTCATTCGCGACCAAGCACAGAAGAGTGTTGACATCTACATTGCACGGATCCGCAAATTCGCGGTCACAATGCCGGATACCGTGTTACCATCACCAGGTCTCGCCGCTGGCGGGGGACCTACCCCACGAATCGGGACACCTGCAAACGATACCTCGTGGGCCGGCTGGGCCATTTCAAGCTTCACAAACAAGTTAGCATCTACAAGCGGCGAGATGCAGGCCAACTCTGTAACCAATGGAGCAGCGGATCAAAGATCGTCGTCTGTACCACCAGCTACCACAACAACTAGCAAACCACCAGTCCCTGTAGCAACAAAGCCCGGAATGACTCTTCATAGCGCGAAGAGTACCGCCTCAATTCCTACCATCAAATCACCAGATCCAGCAGCGGCGTTTCATGACGAGGCAGAAGACTTCAACAATGACTGGGGCGGCTTCGCTGACGAAGAGGAAAAACCGCAAGACGAAGAGGACCCATGGGGTACGCCAGCCGTATCAAAGCCAGCATCTACCACGTCATACGATGACAAGGGCGAGCCTGACTTCGCAGGATGGTTGGCAGCTCAATCGAACGCGAAGAAGCCTACAAAGAACGCTCTTCCTAAGGGTCTCGTCAAATCAACAGCACCAGCAGCAAAGGCAGCAAGGCCAGCGGTTGGAAGCAGGTCAAGTACGACAGGAACGACGAGAAAGGTCATCGTGCCGCCTAAGAAAGAGGTCAAGAAAGAAGAGCCGAAAGCTGAAGAAGAAGAGGAAGGTTGGGGTGATGCCTGGGATTAATAAGGTATCTCGCAAATGATGTCGATTGTTCAGCATAGCGACGGCGTCTTTGAGATGGGCTGCACCTGATAGATCTCATTGCAAGATCGTATGACTAGTTTTAGAGATTACAATCTTAGGGATACATAATGTTACAAATGACGGCGTTTGTCGAGCTCTATGCTTTCTTCTCTTCCTTTTCCCGCTTGCCGAATGTGTAGGCTAGACCGCAACCTGCTACGTTGATGGCGCAGAGAGCGAGTGAGCCTCCTCTTACTATGCCGCGAGCGCTGAGCTTGTTCTTGATGCCCTGGGTTTGGTTAGATTTTGCCACTCTCAATGTAGTCCGATGAAAGAATTCTTGGACGTGGAGGGATAGTTCAAACGTACCTGACTTCTCCGCATAGCAAGCAATGCATACAACCCACTCCATGCAGCCGTGATACCAGCAGCATCGGTCTTGTAGTTGCTCAAGTTCAGGTAGGAGGAGAAGAGCAAGACGGGTGTGAACGTCATGGGAAAGAACTGGAATGGACGAGCATGTTGGGCTGTGATTAGGGTGGCGAGGAGTGTTGGCGGTACGGAGTTCTCTGTACAAAAAGGATTGAGTTAGTGACCTTGCCTCGATATTTGTACAAGACAATGTGAGGCACGTGCGACAAGGTGAATCAGGAAGTGACAGGATGGACGTACCTCCCCAATTCCTCAGCGATTGCAGCATGGAGGCTTTCGGTTGTTCGGGCATCGTGGAGTTCGTGTGCGCTAGAGAAGGGCGTACAAGAATTGACCGATGGGTGAATATGTCCAGTGCTCAGGAACAAATGCGCGCAGAAGGGTACATGGGTTGAGATTGGGTGAAGACCATGACGTTGGTCCGGCAAGTGGACCGCCCGCCCGTGCCAACCCAGCACATGGAAACTGGCCTCCGGGACTCGCGAACTTCGACAGACAACAGATAACGCTTTAACGTCTAATACAACCACAACCCCGTCACGGGACGATATTCAATTCACGCACACCCATCGCCATCACCGCTACATCATCACCAGCCGGCCACACTTGCGCATCGGCCTCCCACCCCCACCGCTGCCTGCCCCGGCAGCACAATCTCCCACCACAACACACCGATACCCCACAAACCGCCTCTCACACACGACACAATGTCAGGCAAAACCTCGGGCTCCGACGCCAAATCGCGAGACCACCACGACGGCAGCGCCGGCCGAGCCTTCACGGTCGAGCAAAAAGCCGCCGTAATACGCATCAAATCATGCGCGCCAACCGCCTACTACAAGATCCTCGGCCTGGAAGAAGTAAAAGCCAGCTGTTCAGACTCGGACATCAAGAAAGCGTACCGCAAGCTCTCCCTCCTCACGCATCCGGACAAGAACGGGTACGACGGCGCGGACGAGGCGTTCAAGCTGGTCAGCAAGGCGTTCCAGGTGCTGAGCGATCCGGATAAGAAGAAGAAGTACGATCAGTTTGGCGGGGATCCAGATGCGCGGTTTGATCCGCGGGCGCATGCGAGTGCGAATGGAGGGGGTGGTGCGAGTCCGTTTGGGAATGGGTTTGCGAGGAGAGGGGGTGGGTTTGAGGAGGAGATGACGCCTGAAGAGTTGTTTAGACAGTTCTTTGGGGGTGCGTTTGGGGGGCCTTTTGGTACGTTTTCCTCTGCCCAGAAACCTCGGTCTTGAATTGTCGAGGTTATACTGCACAACAAGAAGACGACAACAAACTAACACACCACCACAGGCGGCATGGACACAGGCCCAGGATTCGTCTTCAACCTCGGCGGCGGCCCCGGCGTCCGCGTCCACCAATTCGGCGGCGGCCGTCCGCGCAGACGCCCCGGCACCGCCGTCCCCCCCGGCAGCGAAGGCCAACAAAACCTCTCCTCCGCTTTCGCCAACCTGCTCCCCCTCCTCTTCCTCTTCGTCCTCCCCCTCCTCTCCTCCCTCTTCTCCGGCTCAACCTCCACCTCCGCAAGCCCCAACCTCGTCTTCGAAACTCCGCGCTCCCCCAACACACTCAAGCGCGTGTCCACGCGGATAAAGATAGATTACTACGTCGACCCCAAGGAAGTGCATGATTACACGCCGAAGAAGTGGCGCAAGTTGGATGATATAGCTGAGAATCAGTATGTGCATATTACGAATACGAGGTGTCAGAATGAGAGGGTGAGGCAGAGGAGGGCGATGGAAGAGGCACAGGGATGGTTTAGTGTTGATCAGGAGGCTATGAATAAGGCGCGGAATATGGAGTTGAAGAATTGTAATAAGTTGAGGAAGTTGGGCGTGGATGTTTACTAGATTAGGAGATGGTTAGGATGAATGCGTTCTGGTTTTGACGAGGGATAGACTTTGTCGTACGTTTGGCTGTACGTATCTCGATGTTGAGAGATGGGAGGAGAGGTTCTTAGAGACAGTTGTTCCGGGGATATAATTGACTCTCAGATGGACGCATGGCGCATGGAGGCGTATGGTAGCGTCGACTGCGCGTTACAGGCGCAGGATTCCCTTCTTGAGCGAAATTAACTCTATTCCCGTTCGCGTTCATATATATACATCTATCCATACTCATCAACATCAAGATCCTGTCTATACCCCACTCCAAGTCAACTAATCATACATATATACAAAATCTATCCTACAACCCCCATCTCTCCCCCGTCTTCCATCCCTAAAACCCCCAAAACCTCGCAATCCTCATCTTAACCCCCTCCCAACTATTCAACTTAGGCCTAACATCCAAATAAAAATTCAACGCCTTCCCCACCTTCCCCTCATCCCTGCCCGCATAAAAATCAATCACATACTCAACCTTCGTCCCACACCGATCCACCACCCAATCATGTCTATCAAACGGCGGCTGATACCCCATCAAACTCTTCCACCTTGCCCGCGGCGTTAAACTCGTGCTCATCCCAGAGAAACTCGCCAATTTAGGCCCGCCGCATTTCTCAGCCCCGCGCCCGCTTTCCCAGCTCTTGATCTCGTGCCATGCGCGTTCGTTGACGGCGTTGTGGATGGGCACTATGGTGCGCATGTCAGGGGCGGAGGGGTCGTAGGATTTGCGCCGCATGGCGTCGAAGAACATTTGCTCGGACGGGTAGATCCAGTTTCCGGTTTTTTTGTCGGAGCCCGTGTCGCGCTCGTTGTTTGCTGGTCGTGCATTGGGTGCGGGTTGTGTTGCGATTTGGTCTGGTAGGGCGCGTGGTATTGTGCTTACTTCGCGGTCGGTGCCGAGGCGTATTTGCGAGAGGATGCTTGTGCTGCTTGGGGGTGGGGAGGTGGTGCTTTGGTCGAGCGTGGAGGAGTCGCAGGATTGCTGGACGGCGGATTGGGAGGGTGCTGGCGCGGCGGAGGCGGCGGCGGGTGTTGGGATGGGTGTGCTATGGGGATTTGGTGGTGTGGTGCCGTTTTGGGCGCGGGCTTGGGCGAGCCATGCTTCGCGTGTCTTGTGGTCGACGGGGCAGGCGGCTGCGGGGTCGTCTTGCGAGGACATTGTGGTGGAGATGTGTGAGGTTGGTTTTGTCGGGTTCCGAGAAACTCGGGATGGTGACGGAAGCCATCGAGAAATGTTGGGCACGGGCCTTTGCGGGAATCAGGTGCGTCTGATTGGCTGGCCTTCAACTACCGCACTCCACCGCTTTGGACAGCGTCAAGGTGTATGTCTTTCTACCACCGGAGAATAATCTGTAGTAGACGGTCAATTTCATGATATAACCTGTCTAACCTGTCATCGCGCAAGTAATTCCGCTGTCTCGAGTCACTGTCCTAGATCCGCGCTTTCTAGACCGCATCCAACTAGACCCTGCATATAAACATTAAACCCCACCAAGCCCCCTTGACTTTCACCGCTACCCTCTGTGTTTTGCTTCTTTCCCTCCCTTCCTTCTCTTATAGCAAGCGTCAAAATGTCCGACATCCACCGTGCCAGCACCACCGCCCCGGTCAACATCGCGGTAATCAAATACTGGGGAAAGCGCGACCCCAAGCTCAACCTCCCCACCAACTCCTCCCTCAGCGTCACCCTCGCGCAGTCCGACCTCCGCACCCACACCACCGCGTCGTGCTCGTCCACCTACCCGAAAGAAGACACGCTTCTCCTCAACGGCCAATCGCAGGATGTTTCTGGTGCTAGGACACAAGCGTGCTTCAGGGAGCTGAGGGCACTGAGGAAGCAGCTCGAGGAGAAGGACTCTAGCCTCGCTAAACTCGCCGACCTACCTCTGCGCATCGTTTCCGAGAACAACTTCCCCACCGCCGCTGGACTGGCTAGTTCGGCTGCCGGTTTCGCTGCTCTTGTCCGCGCAATTGCAAACCTCTACGAGCTCCCCTCTTCGCCGACCGACCTCTCCCGCATCGCGAGGCAGGGCTCTGGCTCCGCGTGCCGATCGCTTTTCGGCGGATATGTAGGCTGGGAGCAAGGGTCCGCCTCGGATGGTAGTGATAGTGTGGCTTTCCAGGTTGCGCCTGCGAGCCACTGGCCCAACATGCGGGCTGTTATCTTGGTTGTTAGCGCGGCCAAGAAGGGTGTGTCAAGTACCTCTGGTATGCAGATCACTGTTGCTACATCTAGCCTCTTCCAGTCAAGAGCTACCGAGACGGTCCCAAAGCGCATGAAGGAGATGCAGAAGGCTATCCAGGACAAGGACTTCGAGGCCTTTGGCAAGCTTACCATGATGGACAGCAACTCTTTCCACGCTACTTGCCTCGATACCTTCCCTCCGATCTTCTACCTGAACGATGTCTCCCGAGCGGCTATCAAGGTTGTTGAGAGCATCAACGCTGCGGCTGGCAAGATCATCGCTGCGTACACCTTCGATGCGGGCCCAAACGCTGTTGTGTACTACCTTGAGGAGAACGAGAAGGAGGTTGCCGGTCTGTTCAAGCAGATCCTGAATGAGAAGGATGGATGGCAAGGCGAGAGGGGTCAAGCTGTTCAGGCCAACGCCGATGCGCTCGAGAAGGTCAAGTTTGACGCCGGTCCCGCTATCACATTCTTGGAGGAGGGTGTTAGCAGAGTCATCTTGACAGGTGTTGGTGAAGGTCCAGTCAAGACTGAAGAGAGTTTGATTGATGAGAAGGGCGAACCCATCAACAGCGCATAGAGCGCTTATTACTACCTAAACGCCGAATGTTGAGTAGATACCCGTATATAGAGCAGTGCCAGTCAGGCAGATGACAACCGAGGTAATGACCACCTTCGATCCTCCATGTTTTTGTTGAGCCATCTCATCATGTTGAGATCCTTCTCCTAATGTAGCCGGCCCAATACAAGCTTCTTGGGGTCAAGCCATAATTTGGAAGGACAGGAACCCTTGTCACCATCTTTCGCATGCTCATGATAGGTACAGTAGTCCATGTTGAAGATGCCCGAAGCCTCATTGCCACCCTTCTTACGTTCAAGACTCACCCTCTTGAAGAAACGTACGAGGAACTCCTTCGATAAGTTGTTTGCCATACTTGATGCTTCGACACTGTCATCCATAGATGGCCCATCCATGTAATATCTATCCGCGAGATAGTCCAGAAGAGGATCGGTTGGTGGTAGATTGTCGAAAGCGTAGATGATGTGATGGTAGCGCCAAGCGGCCGACCTGATAATCTGAGATCCCATAACGATCCTCCTGTTCATGACTGTCCGCAATGCTGATACCGCAAACCTATCGGCAAATACGTAGAGCTTGATAAGCCAGTCATTGTCTTTGATGAAGCCGTTCGCGTACGTGATTTCGGGGGCGGGAAGAGTCTGGGTATACAGCCACTCCAAGAATAGATTGAAGACGCCAGGCTCAATGTCGACAAGCCGTACCACTCCGTCTTCACTCTCTCTCCATGACCCACTGAGTGCTTTGGTGAAGTAATCGGAGTAGTGTGTCAAAAAGAGCCTCTGGACATGGTACTTGATCTTGGTTGGGCCGACCTCGATGATAACGTTGACGGGAGTCCCTCGTTGTGCTGCAACACTGGACATATGTTAGATTCCATTCACATACCAATGGCGGTTGCATACCTGTGCCAAAGTGGCCCGCTCTTGTGGAGAGCTGGTCCGTCCTTGGGAACGAGGCTCTGCATAGCGAAAGATGAGGGTAGGACTGTGATGGGAATCAGAAAAGTAGCAAGAGAGGCGGTGCGTCGTACTTACCCCCGCCGAGTCCCAGGTGGCGATTTCCGGACGAGGCACTCTCTTCAGCAGCCCGGATGGCGTTGGAAAGGTTCGTGAACATACGAACGGCGTCAAGATAGAGACGTCAGCTGGTACTCAGTTGTCGGAGGTTGTGTGAAGTGAGAGAAAGTTTCGTAGCGCGGCTTCTCGTTGAGGTGAGTCCTGGCCAAACACGCACGTGGAGGAAGGAGCGAGCAACCGACGCAGGAAGGACACGCAATAGTGAGAGAGGGAATGTTGAACATCAATTAGATACGACATGGCTAACAAAGTGCCACCTTATGACATAAAATAAACGACCAGACTGCATATTTGGCAAAAACACAATTCGAAAACGACAGACATTTGCAATGAAATGCACCGTGGTATAAGGTCCCCCCAAATGTACAATGCAACGCCGAAACCAAATAGAACCAAACAAGACAGAGGTGATGTGAGTATCGTCTAGTCCAAAACGACAGCAAGAATGATGATGACCAAAACAATAGCGAGAATGAGCAGCAGGATACAAGCCTTACTCCTCGCGCTCTTCTGATAATTACTCGCCTGCTTGAGGTTCACATGTGCACCTCGCGACGCGTCATGCGTGACCTCGACGTTCTCTTCGATAATGTCGAGTTGAGCACCCTGCTCATGCACCATATGCGCAACATCACGGAACAGCTCGTTGAGTTCCCCAACCGACTGCTCGATGTTGCGGATCTCAGACTCGCGCTCGATGATCATCGACTCCTGGAAGTCTACCTCATCCTGGTTCGCCAAGCGCAGCTGCTCCTGCTCTTGTTGTTGTCCAAAATCTCCTCCCCGCTCTTCGCTTGGCGATGCTACGTCTTGCAGGGCTGTGCGCGCCGCCTGTGCCGACTGCTTCTCTTTCTCTAGCGCTTGCTTCTGGAGGTGTTGGAACTCGGTGAGTGTTGCTTTGAATTCGCGCTGGAGCTTCGATTGCGTGAACTTCTGCGAGGGCTGTGGTCTGTTAGCTATCGGCTTCCATCTCAAGAACGAGGTATCCATACCCCGACATCAGGCCAGGTGGTGATCTTCTTCAGTCCCTCTCCAAGCTCTTTGAACTTCTCCGATGTCTCTTCGACGGTGGTCTTCACGCGCTCGCGCACACGGGCGGTCTCGTGCTTGGTCCCTAGCTTGCCCGTCTCTTGCGACAGGCGGGCGACATTGCGGGTCAGGGCGAAGAGGTCGTCGGAAAGCTTGTCGGCGAAGTCGCGGAACTCTGGGTCATCGGCGTATGACGGATCGTCGTCCCTTCGCCATGTCGTGGGTTGCGATTCGAGGGCGCTGGAGCGTTGGAACGACATGGTGCCGGATAAGAGAAGCGGCACTCGATGATCTTCTAGAAGAGTGTCTGGACGATGTTTGGAGCTATGCGATCGTGTGTGGGGTTGTTGCAACCTAGTACGCAAGTCCAATCGTGGCTACCTGGAGGTTGGTGCTCGGTGGTTCCTGCGGCGATGACGAAGGACCGCGGCTAGGGCACATGGCTCAAGGCACAAGCGGATCCCTTAGGTAAGCGTGCAGCTGTCGGCGACGAAGTGGTAGCTGCGCCGATCAACAATGTTTGTTTGACAAAGTCGGGCAGCTTTTCTTGCTGCAGTACACCAGACTGCCGCACCAGCGCGTTCGATACATTCTTGGCGCGACGCCATCCTTTTGTTTCTTTGCTATGATATAGCCAGTTCCTCACTCATACGCTCTCTCCGCCCCGACCTGTCGCAAACATGGCGCTCGCACCGCTGGGAACGCAAGTGCGCCCATACAGAGACTACCTGACGCCAGCTCTGCACCGAAGGTTCAACAAGGCCAGTCGGTACACGCTGCTGCTATGCTATGCGATCGCATGCTGGATGGGAGAATGGGATAACAGTGAGAGACTCTGAATGAAATCCAGACACACCTACTAACAGAAACAGTGCTATGGCTGTGGTTTCCTCTAGGCCTCACTGGCATCCGGACCCTCCTCATTTTCCTCTCCGCCCTTTCCATCTACGTCCTTCGCGTCGCCCAGTGGCATGTTGGCCGCCGCCAAACAGAGACCCGAGTCGAGACGTTCACGAGATACTTCTTCCGTCCTGCGACGCTGATTACGCTTGTTGCATACGCTTTCTCCGCGATGCTATTTGTCGAAACTTATATCTGGTCGCGGGGCACCCAAGCCAGGCTCAACTTCATCGAGGCCGGCCGCATGCACGAGCGATTCCGGCTGAACGAGAGGCCGCTCTACCTGCGCTATCTCTTCTACCTACTATCAGCAGCACAATCTGGGGTACACTTGTGGAGGGACTACGACAAGATTGAGTTGCAGGCTATGAAGCCTAAGAAGGAGCGGGGTGACGCGACCACTTCGACCCCGGCAAGACGGGGCCCCAAGCCCAGACATGTCCTCACGAGATCACTCAAAGGAATTGCAACACAGTCGACCTTCTTGACCTCGGTCATTGCAGCTGCCGGTTTCTGTCTTTACTACCTTGGAACCCGGAACCTGATCTGGAGCTACTACTACAGCTTCAGTCGATACCTCTGGAGCTTGTCCAAGACTTCCACGCCCACAGGTCTTGCCCCATTCCTGCCTCTGTGCTTCATGTTCGTCACAGAAGGAACGCTTCTTGTTGTGCTCTGGGAGTTTGTCAACAAGATCTTCGATGTGTACCTCGCACAGGAGCCCTTGAAGAACGATGTGCCCATCACCAACGACTCTACCGACCCCAATGGATCCCTTTTGAACGGACTCAAGTCGAAGAAAGATACTGTCAAGGTGATATGGAGTGATACTATTACTACGTTCACTGCTAACTAATCCAGGCCATTGCTTTCTGGGAGCTAGCCCTCATCACCGACGCCTTTCCCGAGCGCCGCAAGACTATCTACAGCGAGATGGATCGTAAGAAGGCCCCGACACATCAGCAAGTTACGGATCTCTGTCTGGGACAGCTCAAGTGGCTTATCGAGCGCGTCAGTGCTGGTCTCGATCCAGCCTACCAGCCCAGCGACGCATCAGGTCAAGACAAGCCAACTGGGCCTATCAATCTGGTCCCTCGTATCGCACAACCGCTGAAGGACGACAAGCCGATTGCTGCTGCGCCACCACAACCAAGTACCAGGTGGGAACATGTCGAAGCAGCAACCGCCAGTATTGCAAAGTCACACAGCGCTCCAGGAAACGCACAGCAAGCATACAGTCGGGAAGCCATCAACAAAGGAATGAAGAAGGCCCAAGAAGGTGCCAGGGAAGCCGAGTCGTTCCTCACGACTTATTACAACAAGGTTGTTTCTTCCCCGGTCGGATTACTGTTCCAGCATTCCTTTCAACGCACATCGAACATTGTCGTTCTCGGCGCACCTTATTCTCAACTTTCCCAAGTCTGTAATGCCGCGACTGCACTGGCAAATCTTGCGGTGTTTTCTCTTGCTGAAGACAGCTTAGGACGCTTTCACCAAGGAATCCCGAGCATAGTGCGCATATTCACTATTGCATTGAAGAAGATCGATGAGTACATGGACACAGCTCCGATCCATTGGAGTGACAAGGAGACGAACGGCAAGCCAGAAGCGGAGAGGAGGAAAGTGCCTGAAGTAGATGAAGCCAGAGAATGTCTCAGACAAGGTCTTGAGAAGGTCCTTGGCAGCTTCAACGAATACCTGAGCGGTATGGGTCTCAGCAGGCTGGAGATTATGGAGGCAAAGAAGGTGGTGGGTGTCAAGAAGGCACCAGAGATGATTCAGGCGGGGGCGAAATAGTAGATGTCAAAACTTTCGCAGCCAGATCTCGTAGAACCATTTGAATGAACCAGTCATAGACACCTTCTCTTGTACATACAATCGCAGTGCTACAAAGACTCTTCCATCGCCCAGGACTATTGCATAATCAGAACACTCCACTCCCAAACCGATCGTCCCCCATCGGCCTCCCCGTCGCCCATCGCATTACGCCAAGCCCACCTCCCCTTCCTAAGATCGCCCACATCAGCTCTGCCAACCAGCAAATCAAAGCCTTGAACCCATCATCGCCCCCAACGAGGAAGATGCCAGATGCCAGACAACCGATGCAGATTGCTACATCATGCAGCTGTCATTGGTCCTGTCAGACACGAACTCGCTGTTTCAAACGAACGTCGGTTCCAGGGGTAAACACGATGGGCGTTAGCGCGCCCCACATTTCTCAACTCGCCGGGTTGCGCGTCCGATGGATCCATATCGTGATAGGGAAGGAGAGAGAAGCCAAGGACGTCATGTTGGGTGAGGCTTGCGCGGTGCATGGCGCGATGGCGTTGGTGCTTTCTTTCGTCTGAACTGCTTTACGTTTCTCCTCGTCTTCTTCTTGTTATTCACGATAACTTGGGTTTTCTGTGGCGTTTGGAAAGCTTGAGGGACTGTTTACCTGCCTACTTGTGCACTTTGGATGATCATACCCGCATTGTCCTTCTTTTCAGCCGCACGTCCTACCTAGGTACCATTCGTTCAGGCGGGTATTGCGTAGTCGTTATCTTTTCTTCTTCTTGTGTATACGTTTACTGCGCCTTGTTATTTACATTCGTACCTGGCGATTGGGTTGGATTGGATTCGTGCCGGCTGAAGGCGAACTGGACGCGTTAACAACATCGCACTTGGAACACTGGAAAGCGACTTTGATACCACGAATCCTCGAGAAGACGTCACAAAGCGATTGGAAAAGCGAAAGGACTGAAGAGCTCAGACTCTAGACCGACGTCACAACACCATGCACACCTACCTGCCGACCTGGCTCGCGCTCTTAACGGCAGCAATCCTACCTACAGCGACAGCATTCTATCCTTACCACTATACCTCCGGCAAGACAGCCTCCACATCAACGCACTCGCACCGAACCTCCCCACCACCATCCTCCCAAGCCGGGACCTCGCGCTCCATAACGCTCCCGCTCCGTCGCATACGCACACCCTCATTGCGCTCCCGCCAAAACGTCTACAACATCGTCAATTCGAACAACCCCAGCCAAGAAAACAGCGTAGCCATAGACCAAGATGGCAGTGATCTCAGCTACATGGTCGCCGTAACGTTCGGTGACAGCACGGA